AGAGAGAGAGAGAGAGAGAGAGAGAGAGAGAGAGAGAGAGAGAGAGAGAGAGAGGGCACCCAAGCGATTGAGATGGCACGCAGAACACCGGGGCAAGCGTCGTTTTGGCCTTTTCCGCCCCCGCCCCCGCACCCTTTCCTTTTTGAAATTCGCAGCTCAAGGACCGCTCAAGGACCGCGACCTGTGCCAACCCAGTGCGCGGTCCCACGAGCAGCTACCGGTCCAAAAGAAACTGCCACTAGCTGCCACTAGCCCCTAAAGTGACCTGCCTGCACATGCCTGCATTTTTGGAGCCTTCCAACGACCAACCAGCCGGAATGAACGACCGGTATAACAACGACGACGAAAAATGTCTTCCGGGGGGGAAAACACAACCCCGACGGGCTGCGAACATTTCATTAAAAGGGATAATTTGCAAAATGCCCTCATAAGTTGAGATATATGGCAAAATGCCCCTATAAGATGTGGATAGAGCGGAATGCCCTCTTGGGCCGAAATCTTTGTGTTGTGCCCCTGTCAGACGGATGTGCAACTTTGCAATCTGGACCTCCTCCCCGTTTGGGGCTTGGCCTTTTGCAATAACGCCTAGGAGGGGCATTTTGCAAATTTGGACAGTACCCCCAGTAGGGGCATATAGCAAAGAAGGGGGTCCAACCGATGCCAGGGGTATTCCACAAAAGTTTTTTTTGTCAGAGGGGCATTCCGCTCTACCCACATCTTTTAGGGGCATTTTGGCAATTATCTCAACTTATGGGGGTATTTTGCATATTATCCCTTTTTTAAAATTCATCTCAGAAAGATCAGACAGCTGGCAGAGGGTAAAAATTTAAGAGGAAAAAAAAAAAAAAAAAAAAAACCGCTGGCAGAGAGTCTGCTTGCATCCATCCATAAGCATTACTATGATGATACCATGATGCCATGATGATGGATACATCACCGAAGAAAAGCCAACAATATGAGCCTTGTTCCGCTGAACAACATTTCAGGACGGAATTGTGGCCCAGATGCATTCGAACTGACCAAACATTTTGAATGTATCGGGACCATTACCAGAGCCACATACGTTTCCAATGTCGTTCAGTGGAGCGAAGCACCCACAGCAACTCCCCGACTTCATCGGTCCTCTGTCACACAGTCGGTTCTCGATTTATGCCTGTCATCCTTGAAAGCGCAGGGGCCATTTTGCTAATTACCCTTCCTTCTCTGTATCGTTCCAATTTTAGGGCGTACTCACACTACCGTAGGCAGTATCTCTAACTCAAATGTATCTGACCTCATTCACGGCCATACCTGTATGTACCTGGCCGCAATTCTGTCCCAAATTACGTGAAAACCTCGTATAGCAGTGCGAGTGCATGCTCTTACTGGATGTCCCGAAGGACCACACAGTCAGTTCCACGAAACTGCCACGAAACTTCCACGAAACGTCCACGACACCAACGAGCCTGCCTTCTTCCCCCGAATACAACGTACGGTCAGATACAGCTTTACTGACCGAATACAACGTACGGTCATTATACCTGTATTTAGATAGACTGAAGGTATTTAGATAGAGTGAAGATATTTAGACTGAAAGATAACCCAAGTGTGACGTTGTATTCAGGGCAAGAAGGTACGGTCATTATAGCCTACCTTCTTCCCCCGAATACAACGGATGGTCATTATAGCCTACTTCCTTCCCCCGAATACGACGTACGGTCATTATAGCAGCTGTATTTCGACTGAAAGATAACCCAAATTCAGCTTTAATGACCGTGCGTTGTACTCGGGGGAAAAAGGTACGGTCATCATAGCCTACCTTCTTTCCCCCGAAAACAACGTACGGTCATTATAGCCTACCTTCTTCCCGCGAATACAACGTACGGTGATTATAGCCAACTTTCTTCCCCCGAATACAACGTACGGTCATTATAGCAGCTGTATTTCGACTGAAAGATAACCCAAATTCAGCTATAATGACCGTGCGTTGTATTCGGGTGAAGAAGGTAGCTCAGTTGGTACACCCATCATGAACTGTTGAAATCCAGACCCAGGTTCTTTTTTTTTTTTTTTAATATAGAAACATACAGAACCCTGATATTAAATTGGCCGGTCCGGGGGGCAACGATGATATTCAATAGGACCCAGGGACGGCAAAACTCGGTGCGCAGTGAAAATCAGGGTCGGCAAAATCACGATCGGAACTCGTTGTGGTTAAAAAAAAAAAAAAAAAAAAAAAAAAAAAAAAAAAAAGCTGCCAATAAAGGGGCAGATATTTTATGCTATCCGTCATTCACATGTGGGGACCACTGATGATGTCAAAGACAGCAGCAAGTCTTCGCCACGCGTCTTTTTCCAAGCAACCTTTTCCCGCCAAAAAGATAGGGATAAGGCGCAGATCTCTCTCTCCACGTGTCTTCTCCAAGCAACCTTTTCCCGCCAAAAAGATAGGGATAAGGCGCAGATCTCTCTCTCCACGTGTCTTCTCCCAGCAACCTTTTCCCGCCATCATCCACAGATCAGGGGATCACTGATAATGGTAAACCACAGCAAGTCGTCGCCACGTGTCTTCTCCAAGCAACCTTATCCCTTTTTTTTCCCGCCAATAGGATAAGGCGCAGATCTTTCTTTCGCCACGTGTCTTCTCCAAGCAACCTTATACCATTTTTTTCCCGCCAATAGGGTAAGGATAAGGCGCAGATGGTTTATGCATCCAGCATCCACGTGTCCGGACCACTGACAATGTTAAACACAACAAGCTTTCGCCACGTGTCCTCTCCTAACAACCTTTTTCCCGCCAACAAACCGCTTTTCCCGCCAACAAGGACAAAGATAAGGCGCAGCAGCAGACCTTTTATGCACCCATCATCCACATGTCAGGATCACTGATAATGTTAAACACAGCAAGCTTTCGCCACGTGTCTTCTCCAATCAACCTTTTCCCGCCAATGGAGAACGCCAGGCTCCACGATAGCACAGCCCCCACGCTTAGGACAAGTCCAAGAAGTGACAATACTAAATCTGCAACAACAGAGACAGCAAGGCAAGGCCAGCGAAACAAAAAAAATCATCAAAATATTTTTTTATTTTTTATTTTTTTCAAAATATTTCAACAACCCCCACTTCCTGGACTTGATGGAGTTAAAAAAAAAAAAAAACACTTCCTATTACTTTGTAAGGAGAGGGGGAGGGGAAGATCAACACTACCGTCTTCACCCGAATAAAGCGCCTGGTCATTATAGCCGTATTCGGAGCAATTTTCAGTCCAGATACAGACAGCTCTGTAAAGACCGGGCGTTCTATTCGGGTGGAGACGGTAGTACCTATTGCTCTGAGTATAAATTCAATATCTGATCACGTGGTCTAGGACCACACACACACACACACACACGCATGTT